GCTAATCTTACTGGTGTTAGATGATATCTCAAAGTAGTTTTAATTTGCATTTCTCTGATGATTAAGGATGATCAACATTTTTTCATATATCTGTAGGCCATGCACATGTCTTCTTCAGAGAACTTTCTTTTCAAGTCCCTTGCCCACCCTGAGATGGAATCACTTGTTTTCTTCTTGCTAATACAGTTGAGTTCTCTGTGGATTCTGGTTATTGAACCTTTGTTGGAGACATAACCAGCAAATATTCTGAGGGCTGTCTGCTTGCTTTCCTTACTGTGTTCTTGGCTGTGTAGAAGCTTTTTAGTTTGATCAGGTCCCAATAGTGTATTTTTGATGTTGCTTCAATTGCCCGGGGGGTCCTCCTCATAAAATTTTTGCCCAGGCCGATTTCTTCAAGTGTTTTTTCCTACACTTTCTTCTAGTATTTTTATAGTTTCATGTCTTAAGTTTAAGTCTTTAATCCAGTGAAAGTCTATCTTTGCTAGTGGTGAAAGTCATGGATCCAGCTTCAGTCTTCTGCAGGTCGCCAGCCAGTTCACCCAGCACCATTTGTTAAATAGGGAATCTTTTCCCCACTCGATGTCTTTAATTGGCTTGTTAAAGATCATATAGCAGTAAGTAGCTGGGTTCTTCTCTTGGTTCTCTATTCTGTTCCATACATCTACCTCTGTTTCTGTGCCAGTACCATGCTGGTTTGGTCGCTATCAATTTATAGTATACTCTGATGTTTGGTAGCGTGATTCCTCCTGCTTTATTTTTATTTCTGAGTAATGTCTTGGCTATTCAAGGTTTTTTTCTGATTCCATACAAAACGAAGTATTATTTTTTCAAGATCTTCAAAGCATGAGAATGGAGCTTTAATAGGGATTGAATTAAAATTATATATTGCTTTGGACATTTATAGCAAATATATATTGCTTTGGACAAATGTAGTATGGACATTTTAACAATGTTAGTTCTTCTCAGCCATAAGCATGGTATGTTTTTCCATTTGTTAACATTTTCAGCTATTTCTTTCCTTAGAGTTTCACAGTTCTCTTTATAGACATCTTTCACGTCCTTTGTTAGGTCAACTCCCAAATATTTCATCTTCTTTGGCACTACTGTGAACGGAATAGAGTTCTTGACTCTTTTTTCAGCTTGATTGTTGTTGGTATATATAAAGGCTACTGATTTATGAGTGTTGATTTTGTAACCTGAGATGCTGCTGTATTCCTTGATCACTTCTAAGAGTTTTGTAGTAGAATCCCTGGTGTTTTCCAGGTATACAATCATATCATCTGTGAAGAGTGAATGTTTGATCTCTTCTGACCCTATATGGATACCCTTGATTGCCTTTTCTTCCCTAATTGTGATGGCTAAAACTTCCATTACAATGTTAAAGAGCAATGAAGATAATGGGCAACCTTGCCTGTTCCTGTTCTGAGTGGAAATGATTTCAATTTAACTCCATTTAATACGATATTGGCTGTGGGTTTGCTGTAGATGGCCTCTATCAATTTAAGAAATGTCCCTTCTATGCCAATTTTCTTAAGTGTTCTGATCATGAAGGGATGCTGGATATTATCAAAAGCTTTTTCTGCATCAATTGAGAGAATCATATGGTCTTTGTTTTTTAATTTGTTTATGTGATGAACTACATTTATAGATTTATGTATGTTGAACCAGCCTTGAGATCCTTGGATAAAACCTACTTGGTCATGGTGTATAATTTGTTTGATGTGTTGCTGGATTTTGTTTGTTAGGATCTTATTGAATATTTTTGCATCAATATTCATTAGTGATATTGATCTGTAATTTTCTTTTCTTGTTGAGTCTTTTCCTGGTTTGGGGATCAAGGTGATGTTTGCTTCGTAGAATGTGTTGGGTAGTATTCCTTCTTTTTTTTTTTTCCATTGGAAATACACTTTATTTGTGATCATCACAAGAAAATTTCAGAATTAGAAATAGTACATCAAATTTAGCTAAATGAAGGCAAAATCTCTTTCACTTTTTTCTTTTTCTTGAGAAGCAATAACAGATTTCAATTGTTGTATAGAAGAAAATGTATCTACAAATTTAAAAGCCTACCTTGTTTTAATACAATGTGATTTTTGAGGATATTTTAAAGTAACTATCATTTTCTAGTTTCTTACAGATGAATATATGGTCTTGCATAATTCATAAGTTATGTACATAGCTGTTCCATAAGTTTATTTTGTCCCCTTCCTGTCATGTATCTGCCAGGTTAATGTATGTACATGTATAAGAATGTTCGGCAAAAAATTCTTGATCTTTTATAGTTGAAGTAATTTTACCAAAGATTATGCTTTCAAAGGGTTCACCTGTGGTCTGGTTCAAATAATTCTCCAACTGAAATCACAGCTCCTCTATCAGTCTTCCTTAGAGCTTTCCTTGGTTGAAGGGATATAAGTACTCTCCATTCTGCAGAAGTTTCTGGCTTATAAAATGCAGACGAATTGGCCATCCTACCTACCTTCCAGAGATGTCCTAAGGCTAAGGCAAGTTCACGTGTCAAAGTACTTTTAGGGTTACAGAAAGCTAAAAGCATTGCAGAAGTCTACAAATACAAGGAAACCAATCTAAAAATGTTATAAGCAGTGGTCCCCAACCTTTTTGGCATCAGGGACCAGTTTCATGAAAGTTAATTTTTCCAGAGTGGCTGGGGGTAGAGGGGAGTGTGAAGGTGGAGTGGAGTTCAGCAGCTGATGCCAGCCATGGGGAGCAGCAGTCTTCTTTTTCTATGTTTTGGAAAAGGTTAAGTAATATAGGTACTAGTTCCTCTTTAAAGGTTTGATAGAATTCTGATGTGAAGCCATCTGGTCCCGGGCTCTCAAAAGTATTATTATACCTTCCTTTTTTTAAATTACAGCTATCTTGCAAAATGACTTTTAGCTTTTTAATTGGAAATAACTTTTGATTTAAAGAACTGCATCAAGGAGTGAGTGATAGCTCTTTAATTCCAGCACTTTGTGAGGCTGAGGTAGTAGAATCGCCTGAGGTTAAGCATTTGAGACCAGCCTAGACAACACAGTTGTGAGGGACACAACTACACCTTAACCTTACAAACGATAACAATGTAACCTAAGTATATCTACCCTAGCATTATTCTGAAATTTAAAAAAATTAAAAATATTTAGCTAGGTGTGGTGAGTACCTGTAGTCCAAGCTACTCTGGAGGCTGAGGCAGGGGATCTCTTAAGCCCAGGAGTTTGAGGTTATAGTGAGCTGAGCTATGACCACACCACTGTACTGCAGTCTGGGTGACAGCTGTGAGGACAGTATAAAGAGTTCGAGTAGGCTTGGCACCTGTAGCTGAGTGGTTATGGCACCAGCCACATACACGGAAGTTGGCGGGTTTGATCCCAACCTGGGCCAGCTAAACAATGACAACTGCAACAACAACAACAACAAAATAGCCAGGTGTTGTGATGGGCGCCTGTAGTCCCTGCTACTTGGGAGGCTGAGGCAAGAGAATCACTTCAGGAGTTTGAGGTTGTTGTGAGCTGTGATGTCACAGCACTCTACCCAGGGTGACATAGTGAGACTGTCTCAAAAAAAAAAAAAGAGTTCCAGTATATCCTTCATATAACTTTGTCTAATCAGACAGTACCAATCAATGTATTTTCTTTCAATTGAGATAGTGTCTCACTTTGTCACCCTCATTAGAGGGCTGTGATGTCATATCTCATGGCAACCTTCAACTCTTGGGCTCAAGTGATTCTCTTGTCTCAGCCTCCCTAGTAGTTGGGACTACAGGTGCTGCCACACGCCCAGGTATTTAGTACCAATATTTCAAAAAAGAAATATCACACCTGTAATCCTAACACTCTGGGAAGCAGAGGCAGGAGGATCCCTTGAGCTCACGAGTTCAGGACCAGCCTAAGCGTAAGGGAGCCATGCCTCTACTAAGAATAGAAAAATCAGCAAGCATGGTGGCACACTGTAGCCCCAGCTATTGCAGAGGCTGAGACAGGATTGCTTGAGCCTAGGGGTTTGAGGTTGTTGTGAGCTGGCTGATGCCATAGCACTTTACCCGGGGTCACAGAGTGAGACTCTGTCTAATAAAAATAGGAATACATTAAAAAAAGAAAGAATAAAGAATATAAATTAAAAAAGAATAAAAAGTAAAAAGAAGTAATAGCAAAAGATCCTGCTTTAGTCCTTGTTGGGTGAAGTGGGTATGTGGAGCTTCAGCCAGCCAAACAAAAGATATTTATACTGTACACTGAGAGGAAACAGAAGAGACTGAAAAAGAGTGTCATATCAAGGTGCCTGAGTCAATAAAACTAGGAGGTTGGCTGGGCATTGTCGAGGCGGTGTTTTGCTTGGGAGTTTGAGACCAGCCTGAGTAACAGAGAGACACCTCCCTCCCGCGACACCGCCCCCACCCCCGTCTATATTAAAAAAAAAAGAAAACCAAGAGGTAGAGCTCAAGGAGCCAAAGCCAAATCCTGTCAGCAAAGTTACAGCCAGGGAGTAAGAGACTGGTGGTCTCATCGTATTGCTGCATCTTTTCGCTGTTTTCGCTCCAACTGGAATGTAAACTCTTGGGACCTTCATCCCGTGCTTCAAAAGTCTATCACATAATCCACCCCCTTACGCGGAAAACACTGACCTAAGAAACTCAATCGTAGCTTCCCGCACCGCGGGAAAGATAAGCTTCACCAGGGAACGCACCGCCAGACAACACGTCAACCGCCACACAACACGTCAACCGCCACACCCAGGCGCGACCCGGCCGCAGGAAGGCGCGGGCCATTCAGGAACAGCCTCTGTCCGCCCAGACCGTGAAGGCTGCTCGCGATTGGCCAGGTGTGCTCGCGGGCCCGCCTCTTGAAGGCCTAGTCCAGCCCGGCTAAGCGCCGGAGTAGGGCGCCAGTAGGTTTTCAGCCGGTGAGGGCTGGAGCAGGAGAGCGCGGTTGCAGCGAGGCCGCCCCGAACCTGGACTAGAAAGGCCGTGGTTCCCTTGGTCGTCTCTACACTGCAAGAGCTAACGGCCGGGCCGGCTCTCGACCCGGAAGCGGAAGTGTCCGCACTGCGGCGTCCGGTCCAGTGTGAGCTGGACCCGTGAGCCAGTCGTTCCGCTCGCTGGTTCACATTGAGCTCCCTCTCCTGTCTGTGTCTTGCTCTCGGTCCCCGCCATGCTGTCTCTAGACTTTTTGGACGATGTGCGGCGGATGAACAAGCGGCAGGTGAGCTTGGCTATCCTGTTTCACCTGGCTCCCCTGTCCCTTTGACATCGCTTCTGCGTGGTCCGGTGGACCGCCTTCCCAGGTGTGAGGGCTGGAGCGGGTCTGGCCGGAGGCCGCTTTGCCCCCTATTTTAACACCCAGTTGATTCGTGGCCTACCTGGGGCAGAGCGGGACTTGGTGTTTCACGTTCGATTCTTCCTAATTAGGTAGGAGAGTAAATAGAAACCGGAGGGAATCTTTGTAGGTGAGAGTTGAGATTGCTTCTTGTTTCAGACGTTGTAAGTTGGCGGACTCCTGGATTCTCTCATCGGGTCGACTATTGCTAAAGTGGTTAAGAGCTCTCAGAGGGCGGTTGCAGATTCCATACAGGCCGTTTTGCTGCTTTCAGTCCCTTGCAACCAACCCTTCTAGTACAGCTGGGCCATAGCGAGCTGCATTTACTTTAAATTGGACCAACCGACCTCAGAGTTGAAAGTTACACTACTTGCGCTTGAGTACACTTAGCAGTAAGGTGGCAGCCCTCAGAATCTAGGTTTTACTGTCCTATATCAGTAGCAGAGGGATCTTGAAGTTTAGGCCTCTTGATTTGGTCATTGAACCTGCCTTGATCTAAGTTGTATGTCAAATGGTGCTGATTGTAAATACTGTTGTAACTAATTAGTCATTAGAAAAGGTGGTTTCGGGCAGGGCGCTGTGGCTCATGCCTGTAATGCTAACACTTGGGAGACCGAGGCGGGTGGATTGCTTGAGCTTACGAGTTCCAGACCAGCCTGAGCTAGAGAAGACCCCGTCTCTAAAAATATGCAGGCGTTGTGGCAGGCGCCTGTAGTCCCAGCTACTTGGGAGGCTGAGGCAAGAGGATCTTTTGAGCGCAAGAGTTTGAGGTTGCTGTGAGCTGTGACGCCACAGCACTTTACCCAGAGCGACATAATGATACTGTTAAAAAAAAGAAAAGAAAAGGTGGTTTCTTTTTTGTTTTCTACACCAAATTTGTCTATAGAGCCTAGTTTTACATGCATTGGATTTTTGTTTTGCAGTATTTTACTGTTATGATTATCTTAATGTCACTATTAAAGTTTCTTTTTTTTTCATTAGACTTGTATTTTATACTATTTTTAATTGTCATTTAGGGAAGTGGTTACATAGCTTCCTGTTACTATCCTTCAGGCCTTGGCTAGCTGTGTCACCTACACTTAGACGTGTACACCAGTTCCCTTAGACTTGATCATTCTTTTCAACATGCGCAAAATATTATTTTATGTCTCTATAATAACACTTAAAATGTCTCACTTGTATAGTGTTGTGTTTTTCTTTTTTCTTTT